GGTGCTGAAACCAGCGCCTCGCCCGAGACATCCTCATAATCTGTTCTGAGCACAAACGCGTCTGGCCACCAAAACAAGTCGACCGCTCGAGACACCCTCGCCGTCTGGGCCCCCTGGGGCTCGAAAGCCAAAGCGTAATGCATAACAGTGCCAGCGAGAAGCCTGCTGAGATCTGATCAGGTCTAAGGACATCCCACACACTCATGGTACTCCTAGGGATGCTATGTTCTGCTCAGCATTCCGCGCATTACACATCAACCCCACCAAGGCACCGCAACCATGTAAGAGGTCGAGGCATGCTCCCACAGACAGGGGGCGAGCGGGAGCAGGCCCAGAAAGGGCCGCGATTGCGCGCGCGCAAGCGTGCCAACCGCACGCCGCGCGGGGTCCTTTGCTGACGCGGCTGCCAGCCAAGGCGGCGGCCGCGGCGGCGACGCTGCGCAGGCGGTGGGTTGCGCCATTGCAGTTGCGAGGCCGCTCCCCTGCAATCTGGCGGCCTGCAAGGCCACCTGCCGCGCGCGCCCGCGCGCTCGGAGTGCGGCGCTGGGACCTTGGGGCGCCGCGCGACAGATGTGCTGGCGCAGGGCCAGTCCAGTCGGCATCTGTCAGTGCGAACTAGGAGGTGGAGCAGTTGCAGCTCCTGCGCGTGTTTCCCAGACCGTGTGGAATATGCGCCCCATGCAATCTGGCAGCCTGCAAGGCCTGTGCTCTGCAATAGGCGCTGATCTAGAGCATCGCCAGAGACATTATCAAGACCTTTTCCGAAAGCGAGAGAATTTTGGGCAGTCAAAAAGGCAGATCGAATGATGCACCCCCACAGTCTGGCCGCGAACGGGCCCGCGTCATACCCCCTGCCGCCCGCCCTTGGAAATGCGGAAACCAACGGCCCACCTGAGACATTCTCAACATCTTCTCCGGAGACGAAGAATTTCAGGCAACCAAAACGGGCAACCAACCTGAACATCCCCAAAATCTGGGCGCGAACGGGCCCGTGTCACACCCCCTTCTGCCACCCCCCCTTGGGAGTGATGAAACCGCGCCTCGCCCGAGACATCCTCAACCTCTCCTCCGTCGTCATCATCACCAGCACCATCAATATCAGTATCAATATCAGCATTGTAAGCACAATTACCACCAGCACCATCACCACCACCATCACCATCACCATCACCATCACCATCATCATCATCATCATCATCATCATCCTCGCCCTCTTCCTCGACATCAGCATCGCCATCCGCATCCACATCATTATCAACATTATCATCATCGTGATCATCATCATCCGCATCACCACCCTCATCATCCGTATCACCAGCATAATCATAATCATCATCATGATCATCGGTATCATCATCATCATCATCAGCATCATCACCATCATCATCATCATCGCCAGCAGCATCATCAACAGCATCATCGTCATCATCAGAGTGGGTACTGAGAGTGACGTTGAGTAGTGAGGGGGAGGAAGAGGAGGAGGAGGAGGAGGAGGAGGAGGAGGAGGTGGGCGTTCCTCGTCGGCGCGTGCGAGGGTAGCAACAAGGACCCTATCGTTAGGACATCGGGAACAACAAGAGACCCATCCTTAGGATATGAAAAATTACAAGAAACCCATCCTCAGGATATTGGGGAAAACATCCAAATTGGAGGGTCTTGATCCTCCTGGCACCTTCGCTCTTCACTCGGGCACGACGAAAGAAGGGGGGCAGCAAAACTGGGGGGGGGGTCGCGTCATGGCCCAAGGCACGTCGACGCGCGGCTGGTGGTGAGCAGACGAAAGGCATCTTGAACTGCGGCGGCGGTAAGCGTTGTGGTCCGCGGCTCGCCGCGCGGTTTGGGGCGCGGCTCTGTCGCGTGACCGGTGTCATAAAACCTGCTTGTGCGTCGGCCATCCGCGCCTCCCCTGGTAAGATGATGTGATCAGTCGGATGAGGCGTTTGCATGGGTGCAGCGTTGGTTTTGGCGCTGCTGGCGTAGGAGCTCGATGTCGAAAGTGCGCGCGTGCTGTCTACCCGACACTGTGAACGTGGCCCGCGGCCGCTGATCCTGTAAAGCACTGCTGCCGTTCTCGGTAAGCCCACTGCCACGTCTCCTCCGATGAAAGTACCACAGTGCCACGACTGCAATTGCCGTGGTGGGTCTGGCGTCAGGCGCTATAGTGTGTAATCTTCGTTTGTCGTGGATATGCTGGTTGGCGAGAACTACGTCACTGCGGAAATCAAGGCCGTGGTTGCACCTGTCCTTCGACTGCGGCTCCAAGTCTCAGTCTAGGTGCTGCTGCTGGTCGCGGTGGTGATGGTGGGACATGTGAGCCTGCTCGTGTGGCGGACTTGATAAGTCGCTTGGTTGGCTCTGCTGGCGGTGTCGCGTACCAGGTAGCGCCTGAAGACCTGCCCGCGAAGGCGGGCGCGCCTTTGGATTTGCCGAGGCACCTGTAAAACGAGCCGAGAAGAGGATGGTCTTTGGGAGCTTGCACGCGTAGCTGTTGTCCAACTCGATGCAATGTAGGAGATCACGCGCTGCCAGCTGTCTTCGTTCACGTTGTCATCCGCGGGGCGGTGCGCTGTCCTTTCCAGTGGGCAAATGCATGTCGTGCTGAGGGTGTGGCGATAGGGACGCGGATGTAAATGGCGTGGGTTCGTCGCTGTAGTTGTCGCTGTCGCTGCCATCGTTGCCGCGCTGGTCGTCGGCAGGTGCTGATGCGGCTTTGGGGGTAGCAATCGTCGCCGATTGTGGCAACCTCGCGTTGTCGTAGTCGGCGGGGCGTCGTGGGCCTGTCGCGGTTGCTGACGTAGATGCCTTCGCCATGGGTGGAGGGGCCATTGGAAAGGATGTCGGTGGTGGCATTTTCGGTTGGGTGGTGGACTTGGCGTTGGTGGTGGAGTTGGCTGCTGTGGCTGGCCGCACTGTTGCTTCGGTGGGTTCGGTGGTCGGAAGTCGACGCGCGGGAGGGCGTGGCGCGGCAGCGTGGGTGGCATATGCCCAGTGCAACGCATCCGTAGCGTCCTAGTGTTCGTTCTCTGTTTGCACTATAAGTCGTCGCTCTTCCATCTGTTCATGCATCCTGCGGTAGCATGGGCGATCGTCGCCTACGTTCGTGTAGTATCCTTCATGTCTTCCTTAGTGGCACATAACTAATTGAAAGCGTCACCCATTGGGTGTGGCATGCTTGTGATGACCGAGGGCCTCATCGCGTGCACTTCCGGAATGACGGGGGGAATGTTCGGGGGCGGCCACGAGGGGGGCGTCCAAGAGGGGGGGGGTGCAAATCATGGCCGTCGGCATGTGCGCGGCCCAGGGGGGGGGGCAAGGGACGTAATGAAATAAGGAGAGGCGCCATGAAATCTGGGGAAATAATATGGCTCCCGGCATGATATCCACCCCCCTAGTCACCCCAGTCATCACCCCCCCCTTTGCCGCCCCCGAAATATAGTGCTTGGGTAGATACCGGTGATAGCCATGAGGAGTGAGAGTTCCCCGCTTGTCACGGGCCACTTGGAGTTTGCCGACATGGGCGCTAGTAGCTCGTAGCGGGTCGGTGCCATGGTTGGCCGCATCGGCGGTGGTGGTTGTCTTACCGTACCTGTTCTTTGGTTGAACCGTCGCATGAGGTAGTCTGGTGCTGGTCGTACTTCGACGTAATGAGGCTGCTCATGTCGCGTTGGTGGCGTACGTGTCGGTGTGATTTGTCAAGTACGACTGTAGCCCAAGGTTGGTGGAGAGCTGCTGCGCCAGATGTGCGCAGAGAGTATGAAAGTAGGTTGGTCACTCATAGGAACTCTGATCCACTAGCAATGTTGCTGTCGTTGTTGGTCATTGAGCAAGTGAAGGCATTATATGTTGCGTCCTGGCGTCTCGAATGTCTGCCGCTGTTTTCACCGACTGCGAAGTCGCAACGTTTGCTGATTTGCTGCTGGTAGATTGTGTACCGAGTCTGCTTGAGATCCTTATCTCTGCTGTTGAGGCTGTAGCGTGGGTGGTTGAGTCGAACTTTGTTGTGGTCGATAACGGTGCTTATTTCTCCCCATGCCATAGCAATGAATTTGCTGTGTCGGATGTCGTGGCCGTATGTTTCCTGGTACAACGGGTGGGTCGTCGCTGCGTCGTTGAAGCTGAAGAAAATAGATCGTATGGTCCAAGCGCCCAGTGGCTAGCGATGCCCGTGTACTTGATTAATTTGGTCGATGTTGTAGCAGTTGAAAGTAAACTTCGTTGGTGTCAGACAAGTAGGTGGGAGTGATGTGGACTTGCTCTGTAGCGTAGCTCAATCATGCAGAAGTAGGGATTCGTTAATACTTGTAGCAGAGCCATACGGAGATGTACACGAAGCGCCTGTCCAGATCAATGTTCATCACATCGTCTTGTATGTTGCGTTGCAACTGCGTTCGTAGGCCTGTAGCTTCTGGTGGATCGTATGCATGGTTAGGCGTGGCTGCGCGTTGTCGTGGTTTGTTGTGTATGATATGTTTATTATTCGCCAGTGGTGGTGGCTTCGTCTCGTCTCCACAGACGTTGTAATGAATGATCGGTGTGCGATAATGTGCCACCACTATGTGACTGCGTTCGCATGTGGGCTGGTCCTCTCCCTTCTCGGACTGCGTCATGTACATCTCAAATGCTGGTGCCCATGTGAAGCGTGGAGCGTCGGCCTCCTCCTCCTCCTAATCCTCCTAATCTTCCATTTCCTCCTCCTTTTCCTTTTCCTCCTCCTCCTCCTCCTCAACCCCCTCTCCCCTCGTATCTCCTCCACTCCACTTTCTCTCCCACCGGTACCCTCTCCCTGATTGCTGCCCCCCGGTCCTCCCCCTCACCCTTCCCCCACAACGGCGACGACTACGACGCCGCGGCCGCTGGCATCGCCGCTCCCGTGGAGCCGGCGACGACAACGACGCCGAACACGACGACGACGACGAAGACGACGACGCGGCTGCCGCCGCCGCCGCCAGCCGCTGCCGAGTGCCGCCGCCGCCGCCGTCGGCCCCGAAAAGGCCGGCGACCAGCGCTCGGCGGCAGTGCCCGCAGCGTGCAGCGGACGGCCCCGTCCGCGCCGAGCTCCACCCGCAGCAGCCCCGGCGGCTGCAGCGACGGGGGCTCCGCCGCGGGCGCCTCTCTGGCGCGCGGCGGGGACCCCCCCATGGAAGATCGGAGATCGAGGATTTGAGCCGGTACCAGGGAGAAGGAAAAGGAGGAGTAGGAGGAGGCGGAGGAGGGAGGGAGAGAGGGAGGGGGGCAAGGAGCGAGAGAGCGAGGGCAATGCCGCCTCGGCAGTGGTAGCTTTTGGCTATGCCTCTTCGGGGGCCTCCGGCGGGCTTCTCGTCGCCACGGCTCGAAGCCCGCCTCAAAGTCCCGCGGCCATGGCGCGCCCCTGGACAGCTCCGGGAAACGGCAGCTCTTCCGAGCGCCGCACGCAGGAAAAAGCGTCGGCGGCGGAGAAGCGACGGCGGTTACGCCGAAGTCGGGAGGAGGATGGGGAGGAGGGCGAGGAGGACGAGGATGTGGTCAAGGGGCTCTGGCGCGTGCCGAGCAGTACTGGTGATGCTGATGATGCTGATGATGATGATGATGATGATGATGATGGTGATGATGATGATGATGATGATGGTGATAAGGATGATGGTGGTGATGCTGATGATGAGGCTGTTGATACTATATGTAAATATGATGATGTTGATGCTGAAGATGATGATGATGATGGTGATGATGAAAACAATGAGTCCCACCAGCCCTCTGGGCGTAGGTGGTCTAGAGCAGATCCTCTTCCACCCCTCCCTCTTCCCCCTTGGGGAGGGGTTTACCCCTCCCCCTACCCCCTCCCCTGGACCTGGACGGGGGGGGCCGCGGGTAGTTAGAGCGTCCCAGATGGCCCAAGACGGCTCCAAGAGCGCCTCAGAGAACCCAAGATGAGCTCCAAGATGGCTCAAGATAGCGCAAGATCGCTCGAGATGGCTCCTAAGATGGTTCCAAGAAGCCCAAAGACGGCCCCAAGATAACTCCAAGTGGCCAAACAGCTCCCCAAGGAGGCCCCGAAGAGGCCAAAATCGTCCCAAAACCTAAGGAAAATCAATGATTTTTGCTTTCTCGCCTTTTCGCTTCCGATGGCCATCCGAGGCCTGGAGATGGCTCCAAGATGGCCCAAGAGGGCCCCAAGAGAGCCCCAAAAGAGCCCCAAGACGGCCCCAAGAGCGCCCAAGAGCACTCCAAGAGCGTTCCAAGAGGGGTCCAAGAGGCGATTTTAGGGGCTTCCGAGGGGGGGCGCTAATTAAACCCCCCCTCTTGTTTGATCGACTCCCTCCAAGATGGCCCCAAAAGCGCCCCGAAGGCTCCCCAGAGCGCCTCAAGAGGGTCCCAAGAGGCGCCCAAGATGCCCCAAGGCGCCCAAAAAGCCCTCCAAGAGGCCCTCAAAAGACCCCCAAGAAGCTCCTTCCCCTCCTCCTCCTCCTCCTCCGATTCTTCCTCCTTCTCCGTCCTCCTCCTCCTCCTCCTCCTCCTCTCCTCCTCCTCCTCCTCCTCCGACGACGACGACGACGACGACGACTCCTCTTCCATCCTCCCCCTCTCGGGGTCTGTGACAGCTTCCCCCGCCCTTTGTTATTCTGCATGCTCCCCGACTTCCCTGATCACCTCAACTCCCCTGAGCATCGTTTCTGGATGGGCTGGTGGGGATACGCGAAGCGTCAACAATTTGGTAATGATGATGATGATGATGATGATGATGATGATGATGATGATGATGATGATGATGATGACTATGCTGATGATGATGCTGATGATGATGGTGATGGTGATGGTGATGGTGATGATGATGATGATGATGATGATGATGATGATGATGATGATGATGATGATGATGATGACGATGACGATAGTGGTGGCGGTGGGGATGTTTCTGATAATGATGCTGATGATGAGTAGGACGAGGAGGAATGAGGGAAGAGGAGGCCAAGGGGAGGACGAAGAAGAGGTGGTAGGAGGGGAGGGCGGAAGGAGGGGGGAGGATGAGCAGGAGGATGCACGGAGGAGTGAAATTAGATAACGATGAGAGGAGGAGGAGGAGGAGGAGGAAAGCAGGAGCATCTGGAGAAGATGGATATGATGGTATCACACATCACTGGGAAATTGCACGGAGCAGGAAAGAGAAGGAACAAAGGGAAGGAGGGGGGAGGATAACAGGGAGAACGAGGACGGAGAGGGAGGCGGCCGAGGGGGCCCGCGCCAGACATCGGCCGAGGCCGCCCGGACCTGGCGGCTCGCAAAGAGGGGTGGGTGAATGGGGGGCATCTGCGCAGAAGTCACGGTGGCATCTCGGAAGCCGTCCCCACTCTTTTTTGTCGCAATGGCGAGGGAGTCACAGGCGCGGTTGAACTGGAAGGGGGGCGCGGCCCGGCGAAGTGCGCATCGAATCCAGAGGAGAAAATTGTCTACACATCAACTCTCGACGGTCCGCGCGGAATTTTTGGATCTGCGCTGGCCCCTCGCCCCCGCCGCGCGGAGCGCGCCAGCGGCGGCGCCGCCAGGGGAGCCCAGCATTTATCCCGCTAGCGATGGCATCATCGTGGGCTCATCGGTAGCATGTCCAGGAGGGCGCAACTACCGGAGTATGCAACCACAAATGGCCTGAGAGGAGGAGAAGGAGGGAGAGGATGGTCTCGGCCACGGCCCTGCACCTGGACTGCATGAAAGAGAATATCAGCGGCGCCGAAATCTGATCGCGATCACGCAAAGCATGAAACATGGAAAAGAATAGGTCAGAAGAAATCCCCTGGCAACTGAAGACGACTCCCGGAATAGACTTTGCGGAACAACACTCGGCGCTGAGAGAGGACTTCCAAAAACACACGCTGGCAGGCCAGGGGCAAGCTTAGCTGGGGCACTCTGAGCTACAGGACGTTCATCGTGAGGTCGTATAGAATCTCCTCCCGCCACCCTGCATCATGACCTATACGTCACAATCACCCCAGGCGTGTCTACATCCCCGAGACGTGCACCAGCCATTGCATATGGCTCTTAGCCGGCCATTAATGATGTTGAAGGGCAGGTCCCTGGTCACAACCCAAAAATGTATAAAACATACGATCTGCATCAGCCCGCGTAGCCAGCGAATAAAAATGTTAAGGGCGAGAGGGAAGCAACTGAGCAGCAGAGGGGATGTCGGAGCGGGCAAACAGGAACTCAAAGACACGCTCCTGGAGGTTGGAGGAGGGACGACGGACCGGGCCACGGTGAGCAGCTTCGATCAGGTCCTGGGCCCTGAACAGATGACCAGAAGTCGGCAGGTCAACCTGCGGCGGGTACTTCGGCGCAAACGCGCTCATCATCGCCCAATCCCTCTTCCCAGGACCGCTTCGTCGATATCTGGAGGGGTGGGTAGGGCGTGGGTAGCTTCTTGCAGACCAGAGTGGTGCGCGCAGGGACATAGTTTTATCCCCAGGCGGATGCTGCCTTGCCCGATCGTGGAAGAGTGCATCTGCAGGCCCATCCCTTGTGGGAGCCCGTCACGCCACTGGTCAGCAGGCATGTAGCGAGGCTGGGCGGAGCCTACCTGCGCTCCTAAATGGTCAGTTGACTGCGCAGCGAGGGTTTGCGGGCGAACAGCAGCGCGGGCCATGCGCCTGGTGCGGGGGTCGGAGGCCGCGTCGACGCGGTCCTGAACGCTGCGCGGCGTCTGCGGGGCGCGGCGGCCACAGCCGCTCGCAGGAGTGGCGGTGAAGATCCGGAATTCCTGCGAGCCAGCAGCGATGTAGGCGTTGCCTCCGAAGGCGCCGGCCATGGCGTCCGACGCTGTGCTGCGGATCAGTTATCTGAACCATCTGCTGGTAGTTCTCGGAGTCAGGGTGGAATGCGAAGACCCGCGTCGCTTGCTCTACCGCGTCGGTGCCGGCCGTAGCTTCAATGGCTCCCACCAGTGCGGGAAATTGTGCTTGGCCCAGGTCGGCGATGTTCCACCCTAGGGGGAACCCTTGCTCGGGGTCGGTGGGCCCCGCTTGTGCAGGGCCGCCGTCCCAGTTGCCATTGAGGAGCAGACGTCTCTGCGGTGCATCGCTGTGACATGTGCGGCCCGGAATCGTTTGCGGTGCGTCGTCCAGAAGGTGCCGCGCGATCGCCGCCGCGATCCGCTCCGGCGCACAGATCAGGAAGAGGCCGGCGTGACAGACTCCGACTTTGCATTGCATGGCGCGGGCGACTCGGCCAACGACTGCGCGGGCAAGGCAGATAGCAGGCGGGGCGAGTGGAACGTGGACGACGTCGCTCGTTTCGTGCTGTCACCAGGTCGTGGCACCCGCGCAAGCGTGCCAGGAGAGACAGTAGTCCATGTCTGAGTGTAGGGCGTCCAAATGTGCGTGTGTGTCGCACACTGAGTCATCTCCCCCTGGGCGCGTGGTGCGACATCGTGGGACATGGTGGAATAGGTCCTCCAGGTCGGGCCGTTTCCAAGGTCCGTCCCATGGTAGTTGCATTCGTGCGGTGGCCCGCTCAGTCTGCACTGGCAGCTCCAGCTCATTGGCCGCGTACCAGGACCAGCGGGCCAGGCGAGCGAACATCTGTTCATGTACGGACTGCGGGACCAAGATATGAACGGCATTTGAGAGGTCTCCGTTTTGCCGCCCCCAAGTGTACAACCAGTCCTGGCTGTAGAAACGATCTTGTGGGCCTCCCAGATATGCTGAACTGCGCGGCGAGAAGCTGTGCGAAAGGGGGCGTCATGTGGCCCGTCGCGACGGGATTGCCGGCGGGCACGACGTGCGTCGCGCGCGCGGTGGCTCGTGTGCCCCGCCGTGCGCTTGCGAGGGTCAAGGTCTCCGCAGGGTCCGGCTCCCTAGGTGTGGAGACGCCGTCTCGAGCCAACACAATTAGCGTGCAGTCCCTTTGCGTGGATGCGGCTGCTTCGATGGCAGCGTCTTTTTGCGACGCTCTCAGCACTACCACAAGAATTGTGGGGCCAGGTCCTTCGCAGTGGTTCAGCACCAATTCCTTAATCATGGAGCAGGCCTGCGAGCCT